GTTCTTATTGGGTACTAAATGTCGCAACAAAAAATTATAAATATAGGTCCACTTTTTCTGGTAGCCCCCAAAACCCCAAAATACTGAAAATTAGGAGGTACCTTAATTTTCAGTATTTTGGGGTTTTGGTCGTATTTTTCCACCAAATTGGCTGTAATTTAATACTTTGAGTTCTAAATAGGTTCCAAATCATTCCACAAAAAATTATGAATATAGGTCAATTTTTTCGGGTAGCCCCCCATATAGGGGTACCCCCAATTTTCGGTAGTTTGGAGTTCTTTTTCAACCGAATTCGCTGAAATTTGGTATATTGAGTTCTTATTGGGTACCAAATATCTCCACTAAAAATTTTAAATATAAGTCCATTTTTTCTGGTAGCCCCCATATAAGGGTACCCCCAAATTTCGGTATTTTGGGGTTCTTGAGCGCGTTTTTCAACCGAATTCGCTGAAATTTGGTATATTGGGTTCTTATTGGGTACCAAATATCTCCACTAAAAATTATAAATATAAGACAATTTTTTTCTGTTAGCCCCCATATAAAGGTATCCCCAAATTTCGGCATTTGGAGGTTATTGAGCGCGTTTTTCAACCGAAATCACTGAAATTTGGTATTTTGTAGCCGTATATGGAAACAAATCTCCCTACCAAAAATTATTAATAGTCAACACCTTTTAGGCGTAGTCCCCATATAACCCCATTTTTATACCCTCCACCATAGTATAGAGGGTATATTAATTTTGTCATTCCGTTTGTAACTCACCGAAATATTCATTATATATATTCTTGATAAGGGTAAAATTCTAAGACGATCTAGCCATGTCCGTCCGTCTGTTGTAAAAACGCTATCTTCCGAAGGAATTTAGATACGATGCTGAAATTTTGTATAGGGTTGTCTTTTGTCTGCAGGCAGGTCAAGTTCGAAGATGGGATATATCGGTCCACGTTTAGGCATAGCTCCCATATAAGGGTACCCCCAATTTTCGGAGTTTTGGGGTTCTCGAGCGCGTTTTTCAACCGAATTCGCTGAAATTTGGTACATTGGGTTCTTATTGGGTACTAAATGTCGCAACAAAAATTATAAATATAGGTCCACTTTTTCTGGTAGCCCCCATTTTACGGTACCTCCTAATTTTCAGTATTTTGGGGGTTTTGGTCGTATATTTCCACCAAATTGGTTGTAATTTAATACTTTGAGTTCTAAATAGGTTCCAAATCACTCCACAAAAAATTATGAATATAGGTCCATTTTTTCTGGTAGCCCCCCATATAAGGGCACCCCCAAACTTTCGGAGTTTTGGGGTTCTTGAGCGCGTTTTTCAACCGAATTCGCTGAAATTTGGTATATTGGGTTCTTATTGGGTACCAAATATCTCCACTACAAATTATAAATATAAGTCCATTTTTTCTGGTAGCCCCCATATAAGGGTACCCCCTAATTTCGGTATTTTGGGGTTCTTGAGCGCGTTTTTCAGCCGAATTCGCTGAAATTTAATATATTGGGCTCATATTGGGTACCAAATATCTCCACTAAAAATTATAAATATAAGTAATTTTTTTCTGTTAGCCCCCATATAAAGGTATCCCCAAATTTCGGCATTTGGAGGTTCTTGAGCGCGTTTTTCAACCGAAATCACTGAAATTTGGTATTGTGTAGCCGTATATGGAAACAAATCTCCCTACCAAAAATTATTAATAGTCAACCCCTTTTAGGCGTAGTCCCCATATAACCCCATTTTTTATATTAATATAATTATCTGTTTTTTTCCGGGTTTTGGGTTTGGTTCTAACACTCTGTTTTAATCATTTCACCTGCGAAGGATATCGAGATAAAAAACTAGAACGTACGGCTCGATAATGAAATATATATGAACTATAACCTGTATTTAGACCTAGCCCCTGTGTGGGAGGTACCAGAAAGAGTGGACCGATGTTCCCCATTTTCGAACTTGAACTAAGTTTGGAAGATGGCCAAAGTTTGGATGAAATCGAAATTTTCTGAAACAAATTTGATCCAAAGAAACATGGATTTAGAACCATTTTAACCGTGTCAAAGTGCATATGCCCTCATTATCCATAAAGCTGAGAGAATAATTGTCCATTAAAAATTTCTGAAATTTCTTTTATAGTTTACATTGTGGTTAATATAACCGGTTTGTGGAAATGTCGCTATAGGTCCACTTTTTGGTATTTTCCCTATATTTTTATTTCAAGTACCTGTCAGTATATCTATGATGGAGGGTATCCAAAGTTCGGCCGGGCCGAACTTAACGCTTTTTTCACTTGTTTTAGTACTTATTAGTACACTTTTAGTACTAATTTGCAAAAGATATTTTTGTACAACACTCTATTTGTAATAGCTTAAGCTACGTATCAATTTTCAGATAAGTATCTCTACTTGTTCCATTCAAATATAATATTTAGTACTTTTTAGTACATCTTAGTACTAAATTGAAATTTTTTCGCACATGCCCTTTAGTACCTCTTAGTTTTTACACATTCCACTTCGCCCGTCATAGAAAAAGTTACGTACAAAATTTCAGACTTTCACGCGCAATTTCAAATTTCAAGTTTCGAGCTTTAGAAGTTTCGTTTGAGCGTTGATGATCAGTCAGTCAATTATAACGCAACTCTTTCATATATATATATATATATATATATGTGTAATGTCTTTCAAATAGACAAAAATAATAACACAACCGTTGCGATCAAAGTCCAAAATGTAATATCTTTATTTTCTGTTTACAAAAGAGAATAGGGTTCAACAATCACTACTGTTACACTCATTAGTAGTGATTGAGTGATATTTAATAAACAACGAATGAGAGGGAATGGAAAAATGTAAGAGTACTAAACAGTAACATTACAGTAGGCTCTGCATACAATACAAAATACAGTATATACTTGATATATGCAATACTCTATATGCTCCTCCTAAAGCTGTTTCATACATATTAAAATTGAAATATTTAATTCAAAATAATTTTACAATATGAATATTTACATAAAAATTTTTTGTTTTTTTTGAAATTATTTTATATATATATATATATATATATATAAGTTGTTGTTGGATGGAATCGTGATGTCGTTGGACAGCTGTTGTACTGAACTGCCTCGGATTTGTTCTAAATGGCGTTTGATGTTGTTATTATTGTGACTTAATGTGCACGAGTAAGATTGAGGTCCGAGTTGTTGTGTGATTGTAGCTTGTGTCCAACTGGGTTTATTGGGATTTCGGTAATCTCGAACCATAACCTTTTGACCTTCATGGAAAGTTGCATTGCGTTTTCCTTTATGATGTATTATGTTTTTCTCTTGCGAAAGCTTTAATTTTTCTTTTATGGTAGGACGTTTAAGATTGCTGAATCGGGTCTTGAGCTCTCTCCCGAAAAATATTTTTGCCGGTGACTCACCAGTACTGCAGTGGATCATATTTCGATAGTCCATTAAGAATCGGCATAAAATCTGATCAATATTGGCGTCTCTGTTACCATCCAAATTTGCATAGATAGATTTTTTAAGCGTTTTGACAAAATTTTCGGCTTGCCCATTTGTGGATGGATGTCCGGGTGCAGTTAAACTGTGCTTAATTCCATTTAAGGATAAAAATGTCTGAAATTCAGATGATGTGAACTGTGACCCATTGTCACTAACTAGGGTATCCACTAATCCAAACCTGCAAAATAGTTCTCTTAGTTTTCTTATTGTAAAAGAAGATGTTATGTCCTTTGTCTTAAAAACTTCGACAAATTTAGAATAAGAATCGATAACAACCAAAAAATGAAAGTTTTTAATTGGACCAGCAAAATCAACGTGAATACGCTTCCATACTGAACCACAGGGCTCCCATGGTATCAAAATTCCTTTCTCAGGACTAGGCTGTAATTTTTGACACGGTACACAGTTTTTTATGAGACTTTCTATATCTTTATCAATACCAGGCCACCATACATACGACCTAGCCAATGCTTTTGTTTTGACTATTCCTAAATGTGAGGAATGCAAAGCTTCCAAAATTTTGGATTTTAATTTTTGAGGAATAACTGTTCTGTATCCCCATAGAACGCAACCATATTCTACAGTTAATTCAATGTATTTTTCTCGAAATGTGGAAAAAATAGGATCTTTTAAATTTACAAGTGTACCATCCAAAATACTTGCTGCTACCTTCGATAAAATCGGGTCTCTTCGGGTTTCTCTGCAGATATCTTTGAAGTCCACTGGAAAATCTCTTTGTGATTCAATAAAATTTATATATGAACTTTCATTATGATTACTTTCAAAGTTCATATGAGGTAATCTGGAAATAGAATCAGCTTCATTTTTACATCCTTTTATATACTCAATGGTATAATTAAAACCAGAAAGGTTCAAGGCCCACCATTGCATCCTCGCTGACGCCATTATTGGTAAGCCTTTGTTACTTCCAAAAATTGTTAACAGTGGACGATGATCAGTCTTCAAAATAAATCTATTTCCAATCAAATATTGTTTAAGCTTTGTAACACAAAACACGATAGCAAGAGCTTCTTTTTCCAAAGTGCTATAATTTTTCTCACTCTTGGTTAAAGTTCGTGAAACAAATGAAATGGGTTTAGAAACATCAGAAAATTTATGTGATAGAACACCAGCAACAGCATTGTTCGACGCATCCGTTGTCAAAATCAAAGGCAATTTAGGGTTAAAATGCACCAGGACCTGATCGGACGTAACTTCACGTTTAATTCTGTCATAAGCCTTTTGACATTTATCAGACCAAACGAACGAAACATCCTTACTCAACAAATTATATAGCGGAGACATAATATCAGCAAAATCATTGATGAATTTTGAATAATAATTCGCCATACCAACAAAAGCTCGTACTTCGGATATATTTCTTGGTATAGGCGCAGACATAATGCTTGAAATTCTTTCATCATTCTTAGTCAATCCATTTCTGTTAATATTAAATCCTAAGTAGGAAATCTCGTTTTGAAAAAATTTTGACTTCTTCACGTTAAGTTTTAATCCCGAAGACTGTAGCTTCTCTAATACACGCCTTAACGTCGAAATATGTTCACTCAAATTCTTTCCAGTAACGGTTATGTCGTCCTGATAAACCACAACACACGGAATATCTCTTAACAAATTCTCAATAGTCTTTTGAAAAATTGCTGCCGCTGTTTTCACACCAAAGGGTAAACGTTTAACTTTTAAGGTTCCAATATGAGTACTCCACGCACACAAAAGTTGAGAATCGTCATCTAGAACAAGCTGATTATAAGCATTTGAAAGATCTAGTTTGGTGAAAACTTCACCACCTTCCAACGAAGCAAAAATTTCATCAATCCTAGGTAGAGGATACTTGAAATCAACCAAAAACTTGTTCAATGTGACCTTATAATCACCACAAATCCTCAAATCACCATTGGGTTTTAAAATAGGAACAAGGGGAGTACCCCAATCCGAATTATCTATGGGTTCCAAGACGTCTGAGGCAATTAATTGACGTAAATGTTTTTCAACTCGTTCTTTCCAAGCTAGTGGCAATGGCCTTGGTTTGCAAAATATTGGTACTGCGTCACTAACAACTTGTAGGGAAATTGTGCATCCATTAAACTTTCCCAATTTACCATCAAAAACTCCATTGAATTCATTTTTCAACTGATTAACAATTGTCATGTTCATATCAGAGACTTGAATGTTGTTAACTTGTAATAATTCAAAATTAAAAGCTCGTAAAAACGATCGACCAAGCAACGGAGGATTCTTCGTAACAACAACAACTACCACTACTGATTTGGTATTACCTTTATACGTTACACTTGCATCATATTCACCAGCCAACTTCAGCTTAACACCATTGTAATCTACATATGGCACTTTACACGATCTCAATTTTCTCTTAATTCCGTTCTCTTCCAAAAATGAAATCGGCAACAACGTACATGGTGCACCTGTATCACACACTGCCTTCAGTTCCACACCATCAACAACAACATCCAGAGAATACACATCACCATTTTCTTTCTCAGCCACACTAAAAATAGAATAATCGAAAACATTGTTATATTCATGAACATCACTCTCAACGTCATTAATTTCATTCGATACATAATTTACACTCTTTTTCCTACTATAGCAGACCGATGCCAAATGACCAATTTTTCCACACGAATGACATCTGCTCTCTTTATATTTGCAAGACTGAGAACTATGATTTCTCCAACCACAATGAGAACATGCATATTTCTTGCCACCGCCGCTCTTGCTGTCTCTGCTATTGTTGTCTCTGCTATTGTTGTTACGTTTGCTGCTGCTGCTACCACCATCTCTATTACCACTGCCAGTGCTGCCTCTGCCACCACCACCATAGTGATTTTTTGCATATTTCTGACCGTTAACCAAATTTACAGTGCATTGACTTTTCTCCTCTGCCTTTGCCATATGCTTCGTTTCCAAAATCATAGCCTTTCTTAATGCACTTTGTACTGTTAGGGTTTCATCTTCTTCACACAATCGTTCAAAGATGAAATTTGGCAAACCCATAACAAATTGATTAAGTACAAATGCATCCAAGCTGACACCAAACTTGCAATTGAGTGCTAATGTTTTTACACGAGCATACCATTCAGCAACCGACTCATTTTCAGCTTTGCTACACAAATGAAACTTCTTCCGCTCACTAAATACAATAGTTGGTGGGGTATATTGTGTATCTAAAATCTCACACAGCTTTTTATACGACACGGACACTGGAGACTCCGGACTGCATAAACTATGCAAAACTCTGTACGGCACAGCACCAATTGATTTCAACAAAATTGACTTTTTGGTGTTCTCGTCCGAACAGTTAATTTCAAAAAAATGAATGTCCAATCTCTCCTTCCAAACGTTCCACGACTCCACATTAGGGTTGAATTCCGGCACATTCGACGATTGAAGCACTGTTACTGGAGCAACATTAAAACTTTGATTTGCAGCTTCTTCCATCTTAGGAGGCATTTACTTGTTGTTTTTGTTGTGTTTTTTTTTTATTATTATTAATTTCCACAAAATGGATTTATATGTATTTACATATATTTTTTTTATGTGTATATACACTAACTTTTATTTTTTTTTTATTTTTCCTCGTCGCCAATGTAATGTCTTTCAAATAGACAAAAATAATAACACAACCGTTGCGATCAAAGTCCAAAATGTAATATGTTTATTTTCTGTTTACAAAAGAGAATAGGGTTCAACAATCACTACTGTTACACTCATTAGTAGTGATTGAGTGATATTTAATAAACAACGAATGAGAGGGAATGGAAGATATATGCAATACTCTATAAGGAGTACTAAACAGTAATATTACAGTAGGCTCTGCATACTAATACTATATAGAATATTACAGTAGTCTTCTGTAAGATAATTTTACAGTATATACTTGATATATGAAATACCAAATTTATTGGCGTATCGAATGGAATTAAATAATAAACCTAAATATTTATGTTAGTAGTAAAATGACGCCGATTTTTTTTAATTTTAAACTCATGGAATTTTATATTATCGATTGGAGTTTTTCTTTTGTAAGGTGTGTTCGGAATCAAGATTTTTTTTATGTTCATAGCAAACAGGTTGTCTTTACAACATATTTTTCTACACGATTTGAAGTGAACACCTTTAAGCTACATAAAATTCTTGGTCTAAAGTGTGTCAAATTGTCAAGTTTTGCCCTAGGCACTCCAACCTGGACTACTATTCCAATGAACTGCTAAAAAATGTGCTAATTAATTTCATTGGTAAATATGCATTCAACAGCAACGAAAAATAATTATCAAAGAGGAATAAAAAAAATCTCTTTACCATAGCCCTTGACTCATCAGCAGATCATGTTCACAGTATTGTAATCGACAGCATCATCATCATCACCATCTTTAGTATCATAATTGTAGAATATCTACCGGCCGACTGGCCGTCCGGTCCGTCATTTGTTAGGTTCTATATATGGACAACCTTTTTCAATCGCTTGCAATCTGGAGCAAAACACTTAACACAGATGGCAAAAAGAGTGACGAGAACGTGATCCACTCAAAAAAAGTTCGACAAGAAAATGAATGAAAAGGTACAACAACAGAAATGCTAAAAATCAATTCATTTTTATGATTCGTAACAAAAAAGATGAAGAAGAAGAAAAAAGAGCAGAATTGAAAATGACTTGCTAATGACCTGACATGGAAAAATATTTCGTTCCTTCCTCCACTCAGCGTATCATAAAATGACAGTGATGAGTATTTAAATATATATGTATATATATATATATATACATATTTCTTTTTTCTACTATAAATGAAAATGATTTAACAATATATTTAATGGAAAGTTATTATTTAATAGAAATATAAAAAACAATTCCTTAGCAGCAGAGCTGAGGAATTTTTATACCCTTCACCACACTGTGGTACAGGGCAGGGTGCACCAAAGTCCCTCTATATCTTTTGATTTGCACAAAATTTGGCACAACGTACTGAATTAAGCCTGGAGTGATGTCTGCCGAGTTTCAAGAAAATCGGTCCTGATTTAGATATAGCTCCCATATATAGTTTCGTCCGATTTTATTTTAATGGTGCACCAAAGTCCCTATATATCTTTCGATTTGCACGAAATTTGGCATAACGTACTTAATTGAGCCTAGAGTGATGTCTGCCGAGTTTCAAGAAAATCGGCCTAGATTTAGATATAGCTCCCATATATAGTTTCGTCCGATTTTATGTTAATGGTGCACCAAAGTCCCTATATATATTTCGATTTGTACGAAATTTGGCATAACGTACTGAATTGAGCCTAGAGTGATGTCTGCCAAGTTTCGAGAAAATCGGTCCAGACTTAGATATAGCTCCCATATATAGTTTCGTCCGATTTCATGTAAATGGTGCACCAAAGTCCCGATATATCCTTCGATTTGCGCGATATTCGGCATAACGTACCGAATTGAGCATAGAGTGATATCAGTCAAGTTTCGTGAAAATCGGCCAAGGTAGCTCCCATATATATTTTCGTCCGATTTAATGTAAATTTAGTCCAGAATGATGTGTGCCAAGTTTCGTGAAAATCGGTTGAGATTTAGATATAGCTCCCTTTTATTATAGATTGATTTTTAGTAATTGACGCACCATAACGTACAGAAATTAGTATAACCTAACCTGTGACAAGTTTCGTTGAAATCGCTTCATATTTTGATATAGCTTTCATATATATTTTCGCCCGATTTTAGGTAAGTTGTGAAGGGTATCATATAGTCGGCCCCGTCCTACTTTACTAATTTCCTTACTGGTTTTTTCTATAGAAATACATCAGTCCTTAGCCATATCTGAGGAATTCTATAAAAATCCATAGAAACATTTTTTTTCTGAAAAAACATCCTCAGTTATGGGGTAGAGCTATATCAAATAATGGATCTACTTTTCTGCAAGGAAGTGTCTTAAAAAAATAGGACCATCAAAATCCTTTTAATTGAGGTGACTATGAAAACGGAGTAATAATTTGATTCACAGTTGGAATTTGAGGTCAAAAATAATAATTTACCGAAAAAGGGACAAAGGAAAGTCTATATTAGAAGAAGGGCCCATATGCTAATTGTTTTGCAAAAATATTTTTCATCCTCCTAAAAGTTGGAAGACCAAATTATGGCCCTGAAAAGGGGACAAGACTTTTGATGCGAGGCTATATCAAAACTTGGATCTATGTCGATTCTTATCAACCAAGAACTCAGAAGCTAAAGCAAAGTCGTTTCGTTATAGAGGAGCCATGTTCCTCAATATAGACGTTGTTTTTTTTTTCTATAAAAAATCATCAGACGTGGAATACATTCATATAACACCAGTGAGCGCAGAGGTATAGTCGGACGGGGCCGATCATACCTTACCCTACACAACTACCACTGAGTTCTAAGTTTAAGCGGATCTATATTCCGAGCCTGGATAATTTATCGCGATATTTGCACTCTCTTGTCCAATTAGATGTTAACTCCTCAGCCGCATATTTTCTTAATCACGTTTTCCCGGAGTAAAAAAAAATGCTCCATACGCTTCAAATTTAGTTATTTTACACAAAATGTTTCGATTCATTTGGGCCGTTAATTTAATTTAAAGTTCAATCACTCCTCTTGGATATATTATCTACATCTTGGGTCTATGTCCTTCTGTAGTAAATATATCCGCCATAGAATGCAAATTTTGACGGATCTTCATCTAAAACTGTCATGCTATTTTATGGTCAGACCACTTCCTCTGTGATGTTTGGTTCATAATTGCTACTCCTATAACGACCAGAAAACCAGACAAAAACAAAGTTTTTGGTCCATTTCTTCCCCCAAAGGAAGATACCAAAAGCAAATAGGGGTCTTCCGTAACCAGAACCCGTCCTACATGCAAAATTTCGTGACGATTTGTCCATAACTGTGGTATCTATTGTGTTTACAAATTATAATAGACGTACGGACACAAATGTGTAGATCAACTCAGCAAGTCGAGATATGACGATCGCTATACTAAAAGGTGGGTCTAGGACCAATATCTCGCGGCTATAAGCTATAATAAATACCCTTTACAACATAGTTGTGTCAGGGTATACAAATCTTTAAGGACTTATGAGATGACCTCATGGTTTTTTATATAAAAGCAATTTGACCCTCTATAAAAAATACTTCTTAGGCTTCTAAAACAATCTTACGGCTTTTTATGTGAGAGCACCATATGGCATCCTGGCTTCCTAATAGAAGTCCTAAAGGTATACTATGAGAAGATTACATGGTTTCTATGAGAAGAACATCTATGAAACCATACCAAATAGTCTTCTATAGTCTTCTTCTATAATAATGTGTCTTGGTTTTCTATACAAATAACTTATTGGGCATCATTCGATCACCTATGGAAAGACAAAGTTTTTTTAGGCGAAGAACTTATGGTCTACTATGAAAGGAACTCATAGTTCCTTACGAGAAGACCTCGTAATCTTCTATAATATGACCTCAAGATCTTTTATGCCATATTCTATGAGCAGTCCTTAAAATCTTCTATAAAAGACCTCATGGCTTTCTCAGAGAAAATCCCAGGGTTTCTATGATAAGTCGTTCTTATAGTAGATCATGAGAAGACTTCATGGTCTTCTGCAGGAATACCTCATGGCCATCTATAAGAAGACGCCATAGTTTCGATCCACCTCTTCGTCTTCTGTCATACTCTTCGTTTCCCATGAAAAGACTTCATGGTTTTCTATGAGAGGAAATCATGATTTTCTATTAGAAGCCATCATAGTCATCCATAAGACGACCTCGTGGTCTTTTATGGGAAGATTTCATGGTCTTCTATGAGAATACCTTAGACCTTCTTATGAAGGCCATGACGTCTCACGGAAGGCGTCTTTAAGAAGACCTCATAGTCATCTATAAGAAAACCTAATCATTCTCATTGAGAATACTTTGTGGTTTTGTGTGTGAAGATTTCTCGGTTCCAATGAGAATACTGTAGGTTCTTCTATGAAAATATCTCATGGTCTTATATGAGAAGATCACAATGATTTTTATGAGTAAGCCTCGGTATCCTCTATTAAAAAATATCTTTACCCTTCACCACTTGGGGTATGTTGTACATATGTATCCTTACAATTGCATGTCAACGTTCCCTCGAAGCAACATATGCATGTCCTTCTGCAACCTATGATAAATTTAATTTCATTCGGACATATTTCGAGTCATACAAGTCTCAATTTGATACGTTATACAAAATTTCACCATTTATGTAAAATCGGACGAATACATAGATTAACTTCGGGTAATGTGGACCACCATTTTCTTTTTTTATACCCTTCACCACACTGTGGTACAGGGTATTATGTCTTTGTGCATATGTTTGTAACAGGTAAAAGGAAACGAGATAGACACATGGTTCCTTTTGAGAATATGCATAGAATCACTTTTTAAGCCGATTTATGCATGTCCGTCCGTC